GTAGTTGTCCTCCTTCTCCTCCAACGTGAAGACAACCTCAGTATAAAAGATACACTACGAAGAACAACCGGATAACTTTGTAAACTTTGCTAACCTTTGCTACAACTCTGCATATACAAGAAATTCAAACGCTACATAGCAAAAAGCCTCCTCGAGATTAAAACTTCATCATCTTCTACAAGAGAAGGCAGAAGTTGGAAAATCCTTATTTCCAACTCAAGCAAAGTTCCAAGCGTTCTTCAACTCTTCAAGCTCATTACTTACAAATCTCTTGTAACGAAGCAAGTTGGAGGAACCCCTGTTCTAAATAGAACCTCTTCTTTCACAAGAAGGACGTCCAAGTACCTGGAGCTGTGAAGTGGTGATACTTCTGGGAAAGCTCAGTGAAAGGACCAGTCTTAGGGAAGCCGGAAGTGCATCCAAGAAGACATCTACACTTGAAGAAGATGTGGAGAGCTTCTTAAGTGATAGGGCTAAGGCATTGTAAACGGAAGTTTTTACGAGCTTAGTGGAACAGTGGACTAGAGGAACAAGTTGTTCCTTGAACCACTATAAAAAGCCCTGGTGTCATTTACTTACTGCTTTACATTCATAGTTTTCATTTGAACTGTCTAACTCCAAAGACTTGGTATCTGTGTTCAGCAGAACTGGTGTTGTGAGTTAACAGAAGGCCTACTGCCTTTGCTTCTCTGAGGCTATTAACAGAACTCCCTACAAGAACCCCATCCGCTGCCAGTCTGTTCTGCCAACAAAACAGGCTATTCTGTTAAATCTGGTACTTGGCTTGAAAAAGTTAAAAACCAATACAGTCTATTCACCCCCTCTAGACTGTATCCAGTACAACCGGGACCAACATCGTCCTCGAAAGCATGAACACCAGACTACAGACAACACCGCTTCGGCCAAAAAACACAGAACACGGCCAACGGCCAAGAAGCAAACCGCACCCTCATCGGCTACCTGGGAACAAAAGAAAACTCATCATCCTCGAACAGGAGACAACCACAAGGGCCTCCTCGGCCCCAAAGAGCCCAGAGCAGCCACCAACTGTCACGAGTGGGCACGACCATTCATCGGCCACTCGTGACAAATGGCGCTCATCTTTCCCACCAAGCAAGGACGCTCATCGTCCAACCAAAAGACAGCCCCAATGGCCTCCTCGGCCAACAGTAAGGATTTTAACCAACAGTCAGAAGGATTGAACAGCACCCTTAACGAACACTCAAGATAAGGGAGGCTCATCGTCTTCAAACAAGAACGCAACCGCAGTGGCCCCCTCGGCCCAAAAACAAAATCCAGCCATCGAAGGTCGTGAGAAGGAAAGAATGTCTTCATCGGCCCCCATGACCGGAACGCTCATCGTCCACGTCAAGGGGAAGGTAATGGCCAAACTCATAACAGGGCCACCAAACGCCACGACAGGGAACGACCAACATGGTCCCGCATCGGCCAAGAGCATCAAGCACAGAAATCTACTCTCCTTCATTTCGTCTGCATCTCAGCTTAGAGAGTGCGGGACTCCTGATGGAGTATATGGGTCTAGGCCCCAGGGCCCACATACTCAGAAGAACAGAAAGCACGAGCCACTACGCAGTGCCCTCGTCGGCCAAAGGACCCTCGTCGGCCGAAGAGGGACCGACTCAGAATATGATCCTGAAGCCAGGGAACCAGGGTGTCCTCATCGGCCGTGCCCTCGTCGGCCAGACCCTCGTCGGCAACGGAGGACTCGCAGAACTAGATTTTACACTTATTCTTCTATATATCCCATCATTTACTTTGTATTCGACCCAATAGCGGTCCAGTTGTAAATGGGCCTCCCAAGCCCAAGGCTTGGGAGCCCAGCCCATATTTTTCCTATAAATACTTCCTCTGGAGGTAGTTGTAGGGGTTAAAAAATCATTCTATTGAAGCATTTACTTGCACTTCTCTCTCTAGCTCTCACTTCTCTCTAGATATATACTCTATCAGTCATAATTCAGTAACTTGTGATATGATTGAGAAGTTATAAAGGGCAAAATGTTCAAAATATTATACTACTTTTCCACACGTGTACATCGAACATGTCATTGGATCGAGGTTATCAGGTATAAACGTTAAATGTGCAATGAAGTTTTTTCAATACTGTTATTAGTATTGGAAATAAAAGCCAAAATTGTAGAAGAACACAAGTAATAAAAGGAAAAGCTTAATGCAATAAAAAATTCTGCCATTTCATAATAGTTAAAAATGATGAGCATATCAACAAGTATGACATATTATTGTAAAAAAGTTTGCAAATATATAAAATTTGATCACATATTAAAAGAAAAGTAAACCCCCCATAATAATTGCCTTAAGATGAAGACATCAATCACTAAATTGTAAGATTCTTACACATTAAAAAGGAAAAACACCATTACAATTGTCTGAAAAAATATATTTGGAATAAACATAGAAATTATTATATTCAAAAATTTACAAGTGACTTTCTATGGGGATGGGATTGCAATAAGTCTCTTATTATGACTGATCATATGTAAACAAGAACATTTTTAATGGTTTTGTTCACCGATAGAAGGAATCCTAGTTTTTTAGGCGAGGCCAAACACCAATAGCAACAACTTTAGGCGAGGCCGAACATCAATAGCAGCAACCGCATGGACACAAACAAAATGAGAAAGTTGAAAGTCCCCACATGTACATGTCTTGACATTGAGGATTTGAGGTCAACAACAAACTCTAAATATGACCACAACTTTACCTTATATACATAATAAAAAAATATACACAGTAATGTAAAATTTGAAATGAAATAATGTAGGAATCAAATTATTGAATACTGATGTTTGAAAGAATGAATGGCAGGCAGACGTGGCAAAAACGCCAAGTATTTGGTAGTTTAATATATAAATATACAAAGCAAAATTGCATAATTGTATACAAAGTGAAAGAACAAAAGAACTACCCTTGACCTCAAAATATAGTTTCTCTTTTCGGTTTTTTCCTTACTTTCAGTAAACTAATTTTGCATCATTTCCCTAAAAAAATCATGAAGTTCAGAGCCATAACAATGTCAAATATATATATATAATATAAAGGAAAATGTCTATATATGGCAATAACATAAACATAATGCTAGATGCAAATTTGAAGAGTTAATCTCGTGAATGTTGAATAAGTAATTCTTTTATTACACAAAATGGTAAGTTTTGATTAAGATAGAAGGATAGTCATATTCAGGTAAAGGAAAGAAACCAAATATCATCCAAATAAAATATATTAGCAATATTGTTTATAATCATAAACATTTTTTCTGCAAAAATTCATTCTTAAACAATTGCATCATAAAATTTAATAGAAACAAAATTACTGCTCGTTCACCAGGCATAAAAAAAGAACATGATGATAACAACGGTAAGTTAAGTTATACTTACCGGATGCCCGGATGGATTGTAGTCCGATCAGGGAAGGAATGATATTTGTCATTTGACTTGCAAGGAGCAAAGCTTAAGAGAGTTTTAATTGACTTGCAGGGAGAAATGGTGGAATGAAACATACAGAAAGAAAGAAGAGATGAAGAAAGAGACGGTTACATAATGAAGGAGTAACCGAAGGGAGAGAAAAAGGGAAGGAAAGTTGTAGAGAAAAAAGAGCATTCTAGTGCAAGGGAAAAAAGGGAGAGGGGTTTTCGTATGTTTCATAATAGGATTAAGATGGTCCTATTGTGGGAAAAAATCATTCTTTGTCCTATTTTTGCATTTCCTTATTGTTTTAGTTCTATATTAGGCAATTTGTATAGTAAAAAACGGGCTGCATTTAGAAATATTAATGAAGTGAATATCACTTAGCCCCTTTGTCCCATTATACTTAGCCAATCTTGACTTTCAAGTCAATGAAGTCTAACTTTGACCGATTATATGTTCATATAGAGAAAATATTAATAATATGAAAATGATATGAAAATGTTCTTTGTTAAAAATACTATCATAAAAGTACAAAATTATTAAATTTTGCATAAATATATTAGTTTAAATAATTGGTCAAAGTTAAACATCTTTGACTGGAAAAGTCAAAGATGACTAAGTAAATTGGGACGAAGGGAGTATTAGAGCATCTCCAATGCTACAATGTGCACGATGCACATGTGGCATGAGAGATAGCCACATAAATATTAGTAAATAAATTCTTTATTTCCTTATTTGAATGTTTTTATGCAGTTTTGGTAAGTTTTTCTCCACAATGTCAAGAAGACTCTCTAGATGTTGACATTGCAGGGGAAAACTTACCAAAATTGTATAAAATCATTCAAATAAGAAGAAAGATAAATTATTTACTAATATTTATGTGGTGATGGATAGTCTACCCGGGGGTATATATCCGAAGGGTTATTACGGGGAATAACTTAGAGAGAAGTCAGAGCGAACAAGTAAGAGAGAGAGTGTATATTCAATATGTATTTTGCGTGTTATGGCTTTTCAGCGTGGTTACAAATGGGGAAATGGGGTGCTATTTATAGTAGCAATAAATGCCGGGTAGGGACACGTGTCAAGCGCTCATTGGCTGAGGGGTCACCTCAACTGGTTGGCGCTGGCAGCCGCATGTGGCCGCATTTAATGCGGCTGTTGGATGGGACGTCTGTGCAGAGTACGGTGATCTGTACGCATGTGAAGCGGATATCTTGTCGAGTGAGATGCCTTCGGCTATAGAGCAGTAGCCGAGGGCTCTCCCTCCCGATGGCACCCCTGGTGCCGAGGGCTTACAGTGCCGAGGGCTGCTGTTTTCGCCGTTTTCTCCCAGTTTCTTAGTTTGCTTGAAAAACCCGCTCTGTGATAATTTGGAGCCTTCGGCCAGGGGGCCGAAGGCACCCCTGTGCGTTGTGCGGACTGCTTGGTACTCTGGGCGCTGTGATTTGGGCCTGTTGAGCCTGTTGGGCCTTTGCTGGAGTAGTAGGAGTCTGTGGGCCGGGGGTTCCCGGGCCATATACTCCATCATGTGGTTATCTTTCATGCCACATGTGCACACCACGCTATAACATGCTTTTAAGGATGAAATCCCTAATGAAATGAAATCCGCCTAAACTGCATTTAGAACGCTACCTTCGGTCTGACCTCATCGACACTACACGTCACCATTCCGTCCCTCATCGCTCCCGCGCTCCCATAGGTGCGGACCGCCCGTCCGTCCATCACCCTCAACGGCGCATTTCTCAGCCGAGCGTACCTCCCGCGGCCCGCATTCTGTTCCAGATCTCAGGCACGCCGCCAGAAGCTGGCCATTTGTTAGGTCTCAAAATTCAATTCAGCAAGTTTTGTTCGGCAACTCCAATTTTTTCAGCTTTTAGGTCTCAAATTTCAATTGAAGTCTTCACTTGAATTACCTGTATGCTGTGTGGCCATCTGCTTTCTCACTGTGTGCTTGCTGCGTAGCTACATTAGTTTTATCTGGTTTAGTTTTAGAGAAAATTTCATAAGTAGCATTAAAACATGGAAACAATTCATAAATAGGATTATATTTGTTTTATTCTTAAAACAGGATTCATGCACACATATTTTGGGAACTTTTAATCAACTTATTCTTTTAATAGGACTTAATAAGTTCTATTTGGGAAAGAAAACATACTTGGTCCTATTTTATATATTGAGCAATTTCTATTAGTTTTATATTTATATCTGGCTTAGTTTAGTTTTACACTTTCACAGTTTCACCTTTATTTTTTTCTATTTTTTTTTATTTTATGACCGTGGTTTAGTAATTGAATGATTTCAGTTGCTCGCCTAGATTTTGTTATAGATTTAGCATTTTTTAGATGTTGTTTTTTGGATATAATAATTCTTTTGTTCATTATTTATCTCATTAGTAATTCATTATTAATGTGATTTCTTAGTTTTAATCGCAATAGTAGTAATGTGATTTCTGATTATTAATTCTACGGCCTATTATTAATCATTTAATCTCATATTTCCGCGGTATGTTGTTTTCATTAATCGATATCAAGTATTCGACTTTGATGAAAACTCTTATTCATGTAAAAATTTGGTAATAGTTGCAATTGTATTTTACTTTGGTGTTGCAGTTAAATTATTTTATATTTATATATACTCCGTGTTAACATTTGCCCCCCCCACCGGATTGAAATGCTAGATCCGCCCCTGCTACTGTTGTTTAGGATTCAGTAGTTCCATTCACTGATTAACCTATCACACAGTAAGCTTCCCTTCTGTGTTTTGAATTTTGCTATTTTTTTGACATTGCTTAAAAAATCAGGTTTCTGTTATTTAATTCTTTTCAGTTTTAATTATTGTTCTGGCATCAATGTATACATTATTCTATATCTTAATAAGTGTACATTTTTCATTTTTGAGATTTTCTTCTGTTTTCAGTGTTTAGATAGCTCGGATTGGAATTTGGTTATAATTAATTGGAGGTGTTGTTCTTAGTTATTAGTCATTGTTGCTGAATATTTTGAAATTAGTATTTAAATATTGTTAGAGGTGCTGGAGTAATGTGATTGAAAATTGGAGTATTGAATGGAATTGGTCGTGTTTATTGAATATTTGTAAAAGCTTTCATATGGCATATGTACTTGAGAAGTATTTCTCATATAGCAGGAATGATATAGGTTTATCTGGCTGAAAGTTTTTTAGTGGGGTTCTGAAATGAAAATCTATGTCCATAGGACATTTGTATCCTGAGTCATCACTGCATTCCTAAAGTGTGATCATACTATCCAGTATCCACAGCAAGCTAGTTGTTTGTCCTTCTTTATAGTTTTGGGGATCCACAGTTTAGTGTTGGGTTGTGGGTAGGTGGCATCCTAATGTTTAAGCGGTTACATTTATCATATTACTTACTACCTCATGCTTCTATGATGCTTTTCTGATATGGGTCAGCATTTTTAAAATGTTAAGTCACAGATAATGGGTTGGAAAGCTGCTCAGAAATTAATACATCACTGGAAGATTCTCAGAGGTGACAATGTATGTAAACTCATGAATTAAGTCATGAAACTGATTTGTCACATATATTGTTTTCCATACCTGTATGCATCTGTATATCACGACTAAACAGTGACACACTGACAACTTGTTAGTTGTTTCTTCTGCATTTAATTTTCAGGTTATGATTATTAGAGGCAAAGACAAAGGTGCTACTGGAATCATTAAGCGTGTAATACGTTCACAGAATCGTGTTATTGTTGAGGGGAAAAACCTGGTGTGTAATCATATCTTTTTGATGATTCTAGAGCTTTGAATAAAAAAAGAAATTTTAAGATTATTTAAGCAGCCTTCCCCCCTTAAACATGCACTATCATATCATCTTTTTACATTCTAAGGATCTATATGGCCTTTGTAGCAGAAACCTATCTGTGTGAAAGCTGCTTTTGAGTAATAGAAGCGCTTTAATTAGGAATGCTGTTGCACAAAAGCAGATGACACTTTCTTGAGATATCATTGAGATGGAGGTTTGGAGTGTTAGTTTTTTGGACCTTGAGAAGTAGGTTAAACAGATGGTAGTTGACCAGAGATGTTATTCTAGAAAGGAAGATGATGCATAAATGTGTTGGAAGTCATCCTGCCTCATAGTTCATATTTCATGGTAGTAATTTCGTATGAAGCATCAGTTCCATAAAGAAAAAAAACTATATACTCCCTGTCCCAAAATGATAGCCCATTTTTTGGCAAAACTCATTAGAAACAATCCCATTTTTAACCTTCCTACGATTTAAACCTACATATAACATATTTGCCCTTACCATATTTCCCCAACACCCACACTCCCATTATTGTCTACCCATCTGCATGCATATCTTTCCCTCTCCATTGTCATTTATAGGCGCCCAGTATTTTCCATCGAGCTTGGAGACATATACCATTCATATGGGATGCCCATAATATCCTGTCGTGCTTGTTACACAAAATTCATCCAATTGAACATTTTAGGTTTGTGGAGAGTTCTTTAATTGGTTCTTGAGATATAGCGACTTCCGATTGGTTCATGGGAGATTGTGACTTGCGGTTGGCTTGGGAGATTGTGACTTCCATTTGGTTCCTGTGAAATTGTGACTTCCGATTTGCACCAAACTTTCCCGTTGGTTCTCTGGAGACCACGACTTCCAATTCTGGGTTTCAGTTACTTCTTGGGTGATCAAGAATTAGCAGTCCATGCCCCAATGGCTGTACATAGTTCATTGCTGAGAAAAAATGGAGAGAGGATTTTCAGCTAGGTGAAGATGGCTACAGAATCTGAAGTGCACGTTGTTTTGAGAGAAGTTTTTTGGTAGTATTAGACAAATAGATAAATGAAGGATAATAGCAGAAATTTATTATCTATTTTTAACCTTCGTGTCTATAAGTTTGGGACTACCAATTTGGGACGGAGGGAGTACATTTTTGCAGCTGTACTTGCACTATCACTAATAATGACAGTGACCGTCTTCTTACCTGAATTATGGTGTTGCCACATGTGTACATTTGTGTGTTCTCATTATATATTTATTATCTCACTTATCACATGAACCATTTTTTCCCTGCAGGTTAAGAAGCATATTAAACAAGGACAAGGCCATGAAGGAGGGATATTTACAGTTGAAGCTCCATTGCATGTCTCTAATGTGCAGATTCTAGATCCAGTAACAGAGTATGTATACATTGCTTGTTATCTCAACAACATTTCTTCTATATAGATTGTAGCATTGTAACTAATGTTTGGTTTTGCAGGCGACCGTGCAAAGTTGGAATCAGGTACTTGGAAGATGGTACTAAAGTAAGAGTTTCTAGAGGTATTGGAGCATCATGCTCTATTATTCCACGTCCTGAGATCTTGAAAATAAGGACTACACCAAGACCATCAGTTGGTAAGTAATATTCCACTTTGATTTTCCTTTAGGATGAAGTGTTGCACCATTAGATTGATGTGTACTAGTAGTGAGGCTCATTGGCTGATGATGGTCCAATGCCATTCTTTGAGAACATTAATTATCAACCCTAATTTCAAGAAATACAAAATGAAAAAAGGAGAAGGAGAAGGAGGCGACCATGCAGTGGGCCAGCGGCGGTGAGCGCAGGTTGTACGGATGGCGGCTGGATGGTGGACAACACATCGACGTCGCACAGCGCCTTGGCACCCAGGTCGAGCGGACGACTGCGCTAGCAACCCACGTTGCTTCTGCGTCGGCGATTGTGCTCCCAGGTCGGAGTTTTGTGCAAGGCGGCGGGGCTGGACTGTGGGCGGCGGTTGGGCGGAGGGGCAGCTGCGCGGGTGAGTGTTGGGAGGTTGTAGCTAGGGTTGTAGAATAGGAATCAGAGGTTAGAGTTTTATAGGTATAAGCTAAAGGGTATTTTTGTCCATAAAAATTATTTATTAAATATTAATTACGAATTTTAATTAAATATTACGTAGTATGAATTTTAATATTATTTTGGGAAAGAAACTAGTTAGGTCATAGATTGGGAAAGTAAAGGAGTTTAGTCACACCTAGGATAATAATTTCTAATAATTATTAGTTCAGAATTCAGAACTCTCTCTCTCTCTCTCTCTCTCTCTCTCTCTCTCCCTCCCCCTCCCTCTCCCTCCCTCCCTCAACTAACTTTAAAAATAGTGTGGCTCGCGGGATTTAAAAGGCACCGCTGTACCATCTAGAACCAGTATGCTGAATGGGATTCCCACATTTTGCAGAATCTAACTTTATGATGTAAATGATTTTCAATGTAAATAATAATTTTAGAAATACGATGACTTCCACCCTCATGATTCACTCGATAATATCATAATAATACAAATATAGTCTCATCATCATTACCCCAGTACCGCAAAGGCTCCCACCTATGGTGGGGTAAGGGGGGTCGGATGTATGCAATCTTACCCCTGTACTAAAGCACATAGAGACTGTTTCCGGATGACCCATAGTGAAAATCGCGTCGAAAATTGCATGGGTTGACCGTTGCTTCATAACAAAGAAGCGCAAACAATTTAGTGAGCCATTTTGCTTTAGTCTATCATATTCTCAAGCCAAAAAATAATGACGTTTTGGCTCCATTGCAAATGATGGAAAATACAAATATAGTTTAACATGTCATAATGTCCTCAACACTCACGAAAACTGTCATCTGACACAATACGTACTATGTACATTATCATGCAAAATATTGAATCAATTAAATACGTTTTTATGGTAACATAGCATTTTTAACAGTAACATTTGATCCTTGATCCCAAAAGAGATATAGCATTTCTATCATTACGTTAATAAATACTAATAGAGGCATTTTGTTTATGAAAGTGATCACTGTTGAATCAATCTACGAGATGTCTGATAGAGAGCGGGAAGAGCATGGGGCGGGACCGGGCTTGGGCCCACTTCCGTGGGTCGAGTTAGGGCTGTCGTTATAGTTTAATTATTATTAAGTTAATGTTATGTTTTAGTTTGGGCCTATTATTAGTAGAGTAGTTAGTTGAGTTAATTTGGGCTTAATTAGGGTTTAATTAATATGGGCTTGATTAGGGTTTCTTGTAGAAGGCTATTTATACCCCTCGCTAGGGTTCATTCTTATTATCTGGGAATAAAGTTAGAGTTTAGCCTTTTGGCTTTGGGCAACGGTATTTTATCGTTGATTATTTGGGCAACGGTTCACCCCGTTGATTTCTATTTTTCTGTTACATATCAATTGGTCCGACCTGCCGGATCTCGTCCAGCCGGAATGACGAGATCAACCAACGAACGTTTATCAGAATTGGAGGTTGAACAGGCCCTAATAAATCAAAAACTTGACACGCAAGGACAGAAACTTGATCTGCAGGGACAGAAACTTGACACACAAGGTCAGAAACTGGAAGAGCAGGCCGCCCAGCTTGCGGAAATCGCAGCCTCTCTTGCAGCAATCGCGAAGGCCATGGTGCCGCCGCAGAAATCTCCCATCGCGACCGTCGAGAGCTATTCCTCCGGCCATGTCGCATCTGTCTTCTCCGATGATGGCGGACTGCGCACCGCAGCCACAACGCTACTTCCCTCGTTCGATGGAGAAGACCCAATTGGGTGGTTGGCGAGAGTGGAGCAGCAGTTCGAGCTCAACAGGACCCCACCAGATAGACAAGTTGCAGCGGCTAGGGTTTCTATGGAAGGGGCTGCCCTCTATTGGTTGACGTGGTTAAAGGCGCGCAAACCTGGCATATCTTGGGAGGAATTTAAGCAAGCCTTGGTGGCCAGATTTGATTCCCGATATCAGGGAAACAGGTTTGAACGGCTGTCCGGCGTCAAACAAATTGGGTCGGTGGAGGAATACAATACCTTGTTCGTTCAATTGGCTAGCCAAGTTCCGGGATTGACCGACGATCATTATTTGGGCTACTACATGAGTGGACTTGGGGAAGCAATCCGAAGTTCGCTGCGCTTATTACGGCCCGAAAACCTGGAGATAGCCATGGAATTAGCTCGCGATGTGGAGCATAATCTGTCCGTCCAAAGTGGAGGAAGTGGCAGCCCAAATTATAATTCTGCAGGGGTACGTTCCAGCAGCTTTTTAATGGCAAACACGGGTCCTCCTTTGATTGCCATTGGTGGCAGCTTGCAGGGATCAAGGGGCAGCTTTGCGAAGGATAGTGGACAGCCTCCGGGGACGAAGTCAGGGCTGTCCGGGCAGCCTACGACACGCTCTCAGTTCACTCGTCTTCCGCCAAAGGAGTTCGCAGAATTGAGGGCGAAAGGATTATTCTTTAGGTGTAAGAAACCATTTACACCGGGGCACGACTGTCCCTTTAAGCAGTTGCGGGTAATGATAGCCGAGGAGGAGGAAGAGTTAGACCTCCAACAGCATGAGTACTGTGAAATAACCGGCCAGGAAAGAGTTCAGGAAAGAGAGAAAGGATATTTTCCAGTCTATTCTATGTCTGGGAATTTCAGCTCCCCATCTGTCAGCTTTCAACCTTGAGGACAAGGTTATTTTGAAGGATGATGGATTGATAGAGAGCGGGAAGAGCATGGGGCGGGACCGGGCTTGGGCCCACTTCCGTGGGTTGAGTTAGGGCTGTCGTTATAGTTTAATTATTATTATTAAGTTAATGTTATGTTTTAGTTTGGGCCTATTATTAGTAGAGTAGTTAGTTGAGTTAATTTGGGCTTAATTAGGGTTTAATTAATATGGGCTTGATTAGGGTTTCTTGTAGAAGGCTATTTATACCCCTCGCCAGGGTTCATTCTTATTATCTGAGAATAAAGTTAGAGTTTAGCCTTTTGGCTTTGGGCAACGGTATTTTTATCGTTGATTATCTGGTCAACGGTTCACCCCGTTGATTTATATTTTTCTGTTACATATCAATGTCATACTTGATATAGTAGCTTTATCATTTCAAGTGATGAATCAATCACATAATAATTCATTTTCTATGGAGTTTGTAGGGAACAAACTCTCTTTGGCTTTCTGTTTTGTTTATTTCTCCCTAGAGAATCCATTACAAGAATGATTTAACTAAGCTACTTGTTGAAGCATCTTTATTTTATTAACCTCTTGTTAGGAACCCACTAATTATAATAATAATAGTAATAAGGGTCTGTGAGTATTCTAGTATAAATAGAGGGGAAGGGGGGACTTAGTAAGGAGGTTGTTAGACTGTTGTAGTCTGGACTGGGAAAGATTGAGATTCACTGTCTCTCTTTTGGGGCTTCAGCCATTGTTTTTGGTTTCATTCAATAAAGTTCTGGAGATTTCTTCTATATTTTGTTCTATATTTTTCTGTGAATTTGTTGTGATCTATCAGTGGTATCAGAGCACGTTGATCGCTGGATGATCTTTACGCGTGCTATGATGGAAGGAAGATTGAATGGACTGGAAAGAAGTCAATGGGAATCAGCCATAGCTGTGGTGGCGAATATAGCTGAGTTACGGGCGATGATCGCAACTTTGGTGGAGAGAGCTCAACATCGATCGGGAAGAAGATTGCATACGTCGGATTCTTCGCATCGTTCTTCGCATCGCAAGTCGTTCCCCATTTCGCATACTGAGTCGCGAACTGTTTCTTCTGGTTCGCACGCGCAGAAGGCTTCTTTTAGGTCGCAATCGCGAATATCTTCTCACCGTTCGCAGTCACGAACAGAGTCTCCCTCATCATCGCACACATCGCATCACCATTATCATCATCGACGAACGCAACATTTTACACTAACTCAGAGGCATCAGAAGACCGATGGAGGAACAATAGACATCATCCGCTTTATGACAAACAAAGTCCGTCGCAGTCGTTCACTAGCTCACGGTCGGAGTTGCGAACTGTTTCTAGTTCGAAATTGCGAAATACTTCTTCACCGGCTATCAGTTCATGTTCAAGAAAAACACGATCGAAAGAAGAATCTTCAGGTTCACCAGTTTTGTCGCAAGATGTTTCTCTACCTGCGCAAGATTTTTCCCAGTCAATAAATAAGACTGAGATGGAACTGACGGAATCTGTAATCAAGAAAATGAATAAGAAAGACGAAATCAAAGAGAAACGACAGGTTATTCAATGGCCAGATTACGTTTCTTCTAATCTTGCAGAGGATATGGATTTAGTTCCCAACCAAGTTTCTATTGCTGACAAGCTTATTCAACCATGCTCTTTTGGAAATAGAGCCCTGATTGCTTCTGAAACTGTTCTTGTTAAAATTCAACTATCTTTACAACCAACGGAAAGGTTTTCAGAAAGGTTGGGCTTGTTTCAGGAGAATCTGCTATCATTTTTGGAAACCGCAAACCGATTCGTGATGCTGACAAGTCATTTCCAACATCTTGGCAGAAATCCATTGCAACTTGCTACCTTAAGTGTTAAAAACTTGTCAGAAGTTCAAGGGATAGAATTGCAGCCAATTGTTGAGAGCATGAGAAGCTGCCCCAAGCTTGGCCTACATAACCCATTGAAAGCATTAGAAGGATATCTAAATTTGGGAGACATCCCTGCAAAGACTGTTCTTAGCCTATCACTTCCCGATGGTTTTGGCATCTTCACAAGAGTATTACAGAATATGGCTCTTAAGAGTTATCAGCAAGCTCTAGGTGAAGTTTTGGCACCAATTTTTTAGAAATACTCTATGGTAATCAGGTCCATTTTCTGGCAAGATCTTTTGAAGTGTCAGGAAGTTATCTGGGACAGAACAGCCCTGGTTTGTGGACTTATGGTCCTTTGAATTGTTACTTCCTTTAAATTTGCATTGGATATTCCTACATTTCAGCTGATGGGTGCATTACCCAAGGAAAATAAGCATGTTCTTAAAAAAGACATCTGGCTATGCAGTGTAACAGGACAAATGCTACTTCTGTTTAATGATGGGGGAATACCATTGGAGATTGTTGAAGTCTTAAATTCAAAAAGAGGAACACAGTATGACACTATGACACAAGTTCTCATAAACTTTCTTTTGACATGTGTGTGGATGAAGTTCTGTACGAGCAATTCAGTGAGAAGTTTCACTCAAAAGATAGGATGGAGTCCGAGGGACATGCAATGATGAGCATGGTCAAGAGTTTCCCATCCAGAGGTCTAGAGGTCTGGGAACTTCTTATACCACCATCAGCGAGGTACCGGGAGGGGAGAGGCACCAGGAGGAAGCGGAATTCCAGACTTGGTTCCTATCATCCCACCTTTAGGGAGGGAGTATTGATAGGAACCCACTTAATGGACTAATAATAATAATAATAATAATAAGGGAAAAGGGGCAAATAAGGCCACGTACTAACACAAAAAGTTCAAATAAGGCCTTATTTATGAGGCTCTGTCCGGCCTTCGCCATTTGGGTTGGTTCTCGCTGGAATTTTTTGAGCATCTTATTCAGTAAGTCTAGTTTACTCATACCAAATTTAAGCTAAAACTTCAATCTGGAAGCCATTCAAATGAATTCTTGAAGATAATTGTGCAGTTAAAAGCGCAGTTATCTTCAAGAATTCATTTGAATGCCTTCTAGATTAAATTTTTATCTGAAATTCGGTATGAGTAAACTAGACTTAATGGCGATGGCCGGACAAAGCCTCATAAATAAGGCCTTATTTGATCTTTTTTGGTTAGTACGTGGCCTTATTTGCCCCTTTTCCCTAATAATAATAATAATAATAATAATAATAGTAATAAGGGTTTGTGAGTATTCTAGTATAAATAGACGGGAAGGGGGGCTTAGTAAGGAGGCTGTTAGACTGTTGTAGTCTGGACCGGGAAAGATTGAGATTCACTGTCTCTCTCTTTTGGGGCTTCGGCCATTGTTGTTGGTTTCATTCAATAAAGTTCTGGAGATTCCTTCTATATTTTGTTCTATATTTTTCTGTGAAATTGTTGTGATCTATCACCTCTCAAAAGAATGTCATTACAAGAATGTGTTTATATAATCTACTCATTAAAGGTTGTTTCAAAACGAATGTTGTACTGTTGGAATTAAATATGTCATACAGAGTATTTGAATTTTCAATGGAACTTAATGATTCTAATGCAGTATTTTGGCTAAATCTATATCTTTTTCGTAGCTGGTCCTAAGGACACCCCATTGGAAGATGTCATGGAAAGGACATATAACCCGAAAACTGGGAGAGGCATGCCGGATCTTTAAAAAATGCTACTATGTTTGGTTTCATCTTCACAGCTTGGGATGCAGTGAAGTATTAAGACAGAGAATGACACAAGCTGGAGCTTTTTTTTACGTAATGGTGGTTCCTGTGATAATAATGTGGTGGTCTGAGATGTTTCATAGACATAATTGCAAATGCGCAACTTCTGCCTGTGATAATGTTTATGGGTTAGGAACTCAGACCCATCTTAAACAAGTTGTGCATTATAATCTAATAGTTATGAACTGTGAAGTCATTTGTTTATTCCTCGGTTTAGAGTGTTTGCTATTGCTTTTAAAAAAGCACTTTTGAGCTCTTGCTTCAAAAATTTTAAAATTATGTATTCAAATTGGTATTTCTAGTTAAGTACTTTAAAGACAAAAGTTAAAAGCAATGAGAATGTGCTTTTAATTGCTATCATCTTTTCTATTGCACAAATAAGTGTTTCTCCATCGTTTACTTTTTCTAAATTACTTTTCTTTTAAAAAACTCAGTTTTTTGCAATAATCAGTTTTCATATAATTCCTAAACTGTAGTAGAAACAATCACAAACACTCTTAATATGATATAATGAACATTAAGAGCTTCAGTAGTAGAAACAATCACAAACACCCTTTATATGATATAATGAACACTAAGAGCCTCTTTGTAGCTTGTATATTTTACTTATAAATTATGTTTCATCAAATTAGTAACTTTTCGCCAAATCATCACTTTTTTCTTTTTTTCTTCATTCACTTTTAGGTGTTCATCATGAAATCCTTGAGAGTTAGGATGTTTTCTTTTGAGCTGAAATTTGGTGGTCTGATCTCGTTTGATCTGGTCTGGTAAATGTCTTGTCTCTGTGTGTTTTATAACTATGTAAGTCTGGTGTGGTCTGATCTGGAATTGAAAACAGTCTAAAAGAAAAGATCCTTAACTCGTAAGCCGTAAATTGCTATTGCTATGAAACCCTAGCGGTGTCGCACAGGTTCTGGCCGTATAGCCATGATCGACCGTGACTGCTTGCGGCGAGGCATGCATGGTAATTGCGGGCTCTGAGTTCTCATCTACGTCAGGTTCTTGTTTTCTCGTTCTGTCTGGTCTTGAGTCTAGTTTTTGATTGGCTTTAACAGGTTTAAGGCGTTTTGGTCCGACGTTCTCTGGCCGAGGTTTTTTCTACGTTCGTCTTTGAACGATTGTTTTGTTGTGCTTTGGGTTCCGTCAGTTGGGTTCCATCAATGTTTTGATGTTTTCCGTTCATTGCTTCGTGAGTGTATTGTCCATCGTGAGTCTTGTTGTGCCTTGAGTTTTCCGTTCATAGCTAAGGAAGGGAACAAGGGTTTGGTGCTCGAAACAGATCAGGCAGGGAGTACCGGTGGAGTTGATGAGAGAGCTTGCCTTTCGACTGTGGTCAGATTTCGGATAACCCTATTCGTGTTATTTCTTTCCGTCAACCTTGGTTTGGAGACCAGTTCAGGGAGTCTACTGATGAGATATGTGATTTCTTCTTAAGAAGTTTCTTCTACAATTCAAACATGAAGGAGATCTTAGTCGAGTCATTGAGGATGGACCTTGGTCTTTTCAACAAAATCTAGTGGTGATTAGACGGGTGAGACGTAATGACAGGCCCCTTGAAGTCCCTTTGGACAATGTTGATTTTTGGGTTTAAGTGCACAATTTACCATTAGGATACATGACGGAAAGGGCAGCCCGCGGGATTGCCAACGGTGTTGGATCTTTTGGGCAACTCGATGAAAGATCTCTTGGAGGAAAACAAAGATTGGTGTTGCGTCTTAGAGTCACTATTATCACTATGACTTTGACTAGGCATTTGCAGGTACGACATTAGAGGGATAACGGGATATGGACCGATTTTCGTTATGAGAGACTCTCAAGTTTTGCTTCCTCTGTGGGTTTATGACACTGTACCCCGACTTTATATTTTCGCTAATTAAAATTTCGAACAATTATGAATAAGATTGTTAATTTTATTCTAACTGTTAATTTTAACAATCATTAATTTAAATTGTGGAGCCCATGTAGGGGTGAGGACCACCAAGTGTATCTTGGGGCCGTATAATAAATTCATCTGGGACGTGATAATATTTTATGTTGGCGGAATTAATTTATTTGAGACTAAGAAAATGCCCTTGAATTAAAATAGAGGGAATTTGAAGATTAATTTGGGCAAATAAGGGACCAATGGACTCAAAGCCCATTCAATAGACCTATTAAAGGCTATAATGTCTAAACGGTAAATCTAGGACCTTTGGACATCACACCACACAGACATTCCAACCCTACGTGAATTCTACGTTGAAACCCCTCATCCGCCATTTTTTATCGTTCAAGAAGGAAGAGACCAAAGGGTGGAAGCTTGAGTTGGGAGAAAGAATTATCACGACCATGGATTGCTATTCACACCATTTTTCCAGGTGAGTTAAGGCATTTATGCCGAATAACTTCTAAGGCTCATATCCGATTACCTAATCTATTTGAATGAGTGATTTTTTATGTGTTAAGAAATCAATCCCGTTCTGTGTTTGACTTGTATCTTATTATGTGTTGAATATTTGAATATGATTTCTTCTTAAGAGTTGTAGATATGTTTGAGACAAATCTGCAACATCTTGAAATTCTCGCATTGGAGTAGCCAATCGAGAGTTATGACCCATTTAGTAAGGTCTGTTGTTTTCACAAAACTAGATAGATTTGCAAACAAGTTGTGTATAATGAGTATAACTCTCTATGTTAGGAATTTGGAGTTGGTGTCTTCTTAAGAAGTGTAGAACCCAACGAGACGAATCTAGCGCCAATTCCCCCCTCGCCATTTTGCCACCCGCGATTTTGGCACGCGATTTGTCACCCGCGATTTTGGCTCGCCAATTCCCCCCCTCGCCATCTTAAGTGAAACATCACCCTCGCCATCTTAAGTGAAAGATCACCCCCGTGATCCCCTTAGAGGATGGTGAAGCCTCTTTGGGTAAAAGATGAACCCCGTGATCCCCTTAGAGGATGGCGAAGCCCCTTTGGGGGAAAGATCACCCCGTGATCCCTTTTGGAGGATGGTGAAGCCCCTTTGGGTGAAAGATCACTCCCGTGCTCTTGTTTGGAGGATGGCGAAGACCCGCTTGGTCTTGGATGGCGAAGACCCTTGTGGTCTTGGACTGCGAAGTCACCGCGATCTTGGATTGCGAAGACACTCGTGGTCATGGTCAGCGAAGACACTTGAGTTTGGGAAATCTAGAATCTTAACCCGAGTATCATGGGCGACCCAAATGCCCAAATGGTGACCTGATTAACTAATGGACGAGTTGTTGTCAATGGAGTCTACCACATTGTGGGATTAACGAGTTGGGCCGATGTTAAACATGACTCTAGCTGTCTCATCCAAATGTAGCCTTTTATATGGTGAACTTGTATCTTTTGCCAAAAACCCCGTAAGCCATAACCGTCACTTCAACACCTCAAGAACCGCCATGATAGTTGTCACCCTGGAGCATCGGGGCCACGTGGCTCGAGGTTATTTTCTCTTCTACTTCCTCATGTCCTGTGCACACTCGAAGCATCAGAAGTGAGGGACTTGTGTTGGGGTAATTGGCCCAACACAGGAGAGGTCCAATACCCCTAAAGCCCTAGAGACACACGACTCCACCTGTGCGACGTGTGCCGCAACACGACACGAGATCCTTGAATAAATCATCTAGGCCATCGTTGGGAGGCTCACAGCCGACTGCCTCAGAATAATTGCGGGAAAGCAAGGATTTTGGCGGGAAGCGCATTTAATGCACTAGATATGAAAGATTTTATGGTAGGGTGCTAGTCACTCAGGGCTCACCATGTCACCACCACCATCTACTCTATGGTAGTATAAATAGAAGCTTGTATTTCATTGTAAAGAGTAGGGGCTCGACGCTCGACTCGGTAGAGTGTGCTGTAATTGTTCTAAGTCTTTAATAGAACTTGACCCACTTACCTTTTCTACTGTTCTTGCTATTACTTGTGCCACAAAAAGTTAATAAATCCACTAAAATATATTCAACCCATCAATATTCTACGAAAGTCCAAGGGAGGTTGTTGAGCCCTTGGACCGAGAGGAATAAATCTTAACAAGTACACAACTGACCAAATTCCCAGATCTTGATAGTAGTTTTTTGAAAGGAAATCGCCTCTATTTATATCATAAGTTTCAGGATCGTTAAATCCATCAAAGAAAAATTATACCTGCCACTAACTAACCTCCACCAACTACGAATGTAAACTCTACGATTAGACATTGAAACGTTCACCCTTGAAAGAGCAACATGAATCGGTAACCACGAAAAAGGCTTGACACAACTATCACTAGTCATATAGATTCATATACTTCTAACGACATTAACATAGGCTAAATATCCAATCATCCGACAAACCAAGCGACATAGACTTTAATAAGAATCCAAACAACAAAATATCAATAACTAATGGGATAAATTTATCCAACCCCAGTACCTCGTTCAACTCATGGTAGTGATTCCGGTGGAGACCAGACCATCAGTACTGCCGCGATTGATCTTCCATCTATGGCCGAACTCTAACTTTTGCCAAACCCGCCGCTCCCCAACCCTGCTGCCCCTCATGCATCCTTAAACTGTTGTTCACCGTCGTCTTGGTCATGGCACCACGACCTCTCCACGGCTGGAGCAAGACATCCAGTCAAGGTCTGCACTATACAACCTTCTCACATTCCATCCTATGTCTCCCCGTTGAAGTTGAGAGAAAACAATTCGAAAACTCTAAATTGCCGACGAAGAAAGCTTGGCGGCACCAACCCTATTCTGCAGACGAGTTGCGCACTTGATATTAGTTGTTTCTATAAACGTTTTTAATTTTATTTGATGAACTTTCCCAGACATGTTTTCCCTTGAAAACAAATTATAAGGATATCAAGAAACATAACAATAAAAAAGCCGAAGTACACTAGTGTGAAGTTGAGAGAAAACAATATTGAAAACTCTAAATTGCCGACGAAGAAAGCTTGGCGGCACCAACCCTATAAAGGCGCTCCTGTTTGCTAACCCTGTAATGATGTAGACTAGTGCCACGGTGTGACTGCTCAGATCATGCTACTCAAAAATGGACCCAGCTTGACCAGCCACCACAAAGGAACTATAGAATTTCTTGATTTTGCCAACCACCGGTAAGGAGCCAAGTGCAGAATTTGTTTCGATTTTATCAACCACCGGAAAGAAAGCAATCCATGCAATCCCATCTTCCTGGATCGGTGGTGGTTCAGTAGGGGGCGATCGGCCTCAATATTGATGCACAAGAAATCCATATTCATGACTGATGAAGAAACCGCTAGAAATCTATTACTAGCACAGAAGAACACATGACCGATGATGGTGGAGAATATACATCTAGCAGACGATAATTCGTCATCGAAAATAAAATCTCTAGACATTGCTAGGAAATTAGCGCATAGATAAAACCAAAAGTAATGATTAAACAAATCCTTTTTTATAATTGGAGCCAAAAAATTGATGATAAGAAGATAAGAAGAGGTGGAGGCTAGAGTTTCCCCTCCGCGGCTCCGCCCCTCTCTAGACCGCACAAGAGGGGGGAACCCCCAACTTAGATGGTCATTTCATAGGACTTAAGTCTTGGGGGGCAATCCTAAAATCTTAAGTTCGAATCCTACAATGAGAGTGATTATTGTGACATTCCCAAGCGGTGAGCCGATCAACTATGAGCAACCCAGGCTGATTTATCTCCTTGTGGTCCTTTGCCGGCTAGGATCACAAGGCTCCGGATTAATCTCGGGTAAATGAGAATACCGAATGTCAATCAAAAACATAAAAAAGACCGCACAAGAGGAGTGAGAGTCTCCCAAACATGTTTTTATCATTTCAAAACTAACATGTAGTTGGAGGAAAAAAGCACCAACATGTAGTGAAGACAAATACATCGGGGTCCACAAGAAGCCCGGCCCGAACTTGCTCCATTTCTTAATTTCAAAAATTCCCTCGTGTGAAACATCTCAGCAAAAATTCGAGTATTCCACACGCGCTTAGAAATAACGCTACCATGTCGGCCGCCTCGCTAGGTTCTTCCCCTTCCTGGCTTCCGCCATCCTATTTCAGCCCTTTCTATTCAAATTTGCAGCTTCCATCCATCCAACCGCCATATTTCTTCATCTCTCTCTAAATCTGTACTCACAGACAAACGCTTTCTCTCTCTATATATATCGAAATGAGGAGAGGAGCTAAAAGAAAGGCGAGCCAGAAGGGAAAAGCTCCCGATGAGGCGAAGGAGAAGGTCACGGAGAGCATTTCCGCGGAGGAAAATGGGAACGAGACGCAGCAAAGACAGGCGGCGGAGGAGCAAAGTCAACCTGCTGCTCAGGACAATCACAAGGAAGAGTTGACCAAGTCTGAGGGCAAGCCTAGCAAAAAACCTCGAGCTAAACGAGCTAGGACTCCCAAGACGGAGACGGAAACCGAATACTTTGCTGATAAGCGTAACTTGGTAAATATTATTGGATTTATTTGCTAGTTATTATCCAATGTTGGTTATTAGTGGCTGTGAATTTGAACTTGTGATTTGGATCTACTAAGTTGTTGATGATATTTGGATCTACTAGTTTCTGTCCATACAGGGATGCCAGTTATGTGGGAGCAGACATGCATATTTAGTTTTTAAAAATTTTATTTCAAATATATCATCCTTAATGTGTCCTTGAGAAGTTAGTAGAGTGCTATATACAAAATCAAGTATCTCTTATAACTCATAGTTTCCTTTATGTGGTAAAGAAGCTGATTTGTTGATTCATTTATGTAACGTATATGCATACTTTGCTTATAGGAATGTCTTGCAAAGAGGATACAATAACAAGCTTATAGCAATTCCAGCTTATGTGTTTTTCTAATTTGTCCCAAACTAAAAGTAGACGATGCTCTCATTTTTAAGTTCTGGTTTATCTTTGCAGGACATTTTAAAAATATAGGAAGTTCACTGATACCAAAGCTTTTGCTAAAAATGATATTCCCAGAAAGACATTGTCTGACTGCTTTTATGCTTTATATTGATAGTAATTTCATCTGATTGTTGAAGAATCTTTTCATTTGCTTACATTTTGTTATCCTTTGTTTGCAGGAAGATCTATGGCAACAGGTTTTTCCTGTCGGTACTGAGGTCTGCTTCTGATGAATTTCTTATATTTATCATCCATTGGAGAATTGAGATTAGATTGAATCACAATGGTACTTCCCAATCCAGTCACTAACTTGGATTTTTAATTGATCTCCTTTTGCAGTGGGATCAGCTGGACATGGTATATCAGTATAAATGGAATTTCTCAAATCTGGAGGTTAGTAGTTTAGTTTGCAAAACTGCTTTGTTTGTATTGTTTCTTTCAAATTGGTTTAACCAATTCAATTTATAAAACTAAAACTATG